CTCTTTTCAGTGGTGCCCAGTGACAGGACAAGGGGCAATGGGCACAAACTGAGGCACAGGAAGTTCCGTCTGAACATGAGGAAGAACTTCTTCCCTCTGAGGGTGACGGAGCACTGGAACAGGTTGCCCAGGGAGGTTGTGGAGTCTCCTTCTCTGGAGATATTCCAGACCCGCCTGGACAAGGTCCTGTGCAGCCTGCTGTAGGAGACCCTGCTTTGGCAGGAGGGTTGTACTGGATGACCCACAGAGGTCCCTTCCAGCCCCTACCATTCTGTGATTCTGTGTGATTCTGTATTTTCAATACTGTGATGTCACAGCATTTATTATTGCAAGCCTATGGTTTACCTTAAAGTTCATGTTTTCATGATCTTTATAATAAGATTATGTTTCAGAGTGTATGTAGATGTAGTTAGTGTGTGCAGGTGTTCTGTTTGACTGGCAAAAAATTACCCTCTCAGAGAGATGGAGAAACAGATGCAGCCAAGGCAAGTATTAGGTCTCTCTTCCTGTTTCCCTCCGTGGTATAAATTTCGGAACAGTTGTTGTAGTGGTAGCATTTTGAGGTGTTTGTAGTTTCGTTTAATGATAATCAGATAAAAAATAAGCTATTGGGAGAGTGCAATGACTTTAAAATCAGGGAATAAAAAAGTTTGTTTATTGTTTAAAATGCTATACATTCGACAGACAACTTGGCTGTAGTTGCAATATATAGATGTGGTGTGTGAAACAGTAAATGTTGTGAGAGTTTTAATGTCTTGACTTTCATGTGTTTAAATTCATAGCTTAGCGTTATACTAAACCAGTTTTATTGTTTAGTGTAAGAGGTATTTAAGGAGGTGGCAGAAATGGAGTTGTGATACAGTAATTAAGAATTTACAAACATGAGGATTTACTGAACTTAAGTTGAAAAGGGGCTCTCGCGTTTTCTAAAGATCCCAAATTCAAAATTTTTGTGAACGTTAAGGAAAGACAGCATGCATTTTAAGCGAAATGTTTAAAAGATGTTTTATTTTCTTCAGCATATTTTCCAGTCAAAGGGGCGGGTGGTTGACTTAATGCTGAATAGGTCAGAGGTGCAGGGATAATAACTGAATCCAAACATGTTGTTTACAAGCTGTGTATGCTTTTCTTTGTTGTCCGTTCATTCCTTAGGTAGTCACACCAGCTACACAACTGTGGTGCTTTTAGAAAAATCTAAAGATTACCTCCTGATGTTGCTTGGGAGATCTACTTGTAGCAAGTCCTTACTTTGCTTTCTGTTCCAACACCAGTAATTCCAAA